AATCTGCAGTTCCGTGTTTTTTTTTTTTTTTTTTTGAGAATTAACCATTTCGATGGAGGATTCTCTGTTGAACTCGGATGAGTCATTCCTGTTTTCTTTTCTGCCAGAGAGCCTGGCTGGCTTTTAAACAAATGCTCACCCTCCATTGCAACAGGAGCCACGTTTTCGAGGGAGTATTTGCATCTGGAGAAAGAATCTGAGATCTCCTCCCTCTGTTTCAATTAAAAAACAAAACCCTATCTGTATTTTCTTTTAAATCAATTAGACCGGCGTGTTTGATAAAATAGCATCAGCTTCCAGGGATTAAGGAAGGTGGAACCAGTTCTTTCCTGTGAAGATACAGGTCATCCTTAGATGGAAACTGCTCTGTCTTTTGGGAGAAATGACCTGTATTTGTGTTGTTTGGATCACCCCATAAATATTTTATGTCTTTCTCTTACTTTATCAGCACAATAGAGCTGGCAATTCGTTTTACCAGAGTTATGAGAGGCGTGGGAGAACCACTAATAGAGGCTTTCTGTGCTTGTCCCTACTCTGAATCAGAATAACAGAATTACAGAATTGGAAGGGCCCTTGAAGGTCTTCTAGACTAGCCCAACCCGCTGCTCAAACAAGAGACATTATACCATTCTGGACCAATGGCAGTCCAGTCTCTTCTTAAAAATCTCCAGCGATAGAGCTGCCACAACTTCTGAAGGCAAGCTTTTCTACTGATTTCTCAGTGCCAGGAAATGTCTCCATAGTTCTAGCTTGGATCTCTCCTTGATTCGTTTCCATCTGTTGCTTCTTGTCCTGCTTTCTTGCCTGGAAGACAAGAAGTAATGCAATCGGAGTGATGAATCTTATTTTTTTTTATTATCAATTTGGCTCGAATGGTAGATGTTTCCTCGCCGTATTTGTGAAGGCTTTCTCCGTCTAGTCTTAGAAGTGGAATAGTTATTGAAAGATAAGGAAGAAGGAGAATATTATAAAATACGAGATGTCTGGTACAAATGAATAAGGAAGAGGAGTTGAATGATAATTTTGTAACATCATAAAACAATAAGGTTTACGTGTAAATAAATGTAAATAAAAATGCATGTATGTATGTACCATATATAATGCTTAAAATGATGAAGAAGTAGATACAAAGATGTATAAACACGTTAATAGAAATGAAATGCAAATGTATACACTGCTTTAGCGACGTTGTCAAATGTGAACGTTTGTTTTTAACTGACAAAACGTTAAATAAATAAATTTATTTTTTTTTAAAAAAGTGGAATGTATGTTCTTCCAGCCGGCATGACTGAGGGAATGATTGACGGTTAAAGAATGTAACTGAACTGCTCCGACAGAGCAAATCAGTGGCACTTCTTGGTGTTTAGTGATGCATAGGAAGTCCAAAAAGGGAAGGAAGTGTCCGTCAAGAGGACAGAGAGATTCTTCAACGTTACCCAACCGAGTGATGGAAACGTTTCCCCCCCTTGGACCCTTTTAGTCATTAGGCAACCCTTGGGTCTTCCTTAGTCCTTGTCCTTTCTTTATGTCCTTTGAGAACAAGTGGGAAGTGAAAGCGTCGAATGACGGCTACGCATGTCATCCTGACTTCCCTTGAAGGCTGGCAGGCCGTAATTTAAAAATACGTTTGATTGTATCGAGGCTCCATTCTTGGAACCTATGAAACGAAACCAGCGTAAAACCGTCCTGATTTATTGCTGCCTTGGAGGCCCCGTTGTAAGGGTTGCAGTTCCAATACATCTGAAGATTGAAGAGTGGAAGAACAATGAACTTGATTTGTGGATCTAAGTGATGGGCAGAGACAGTAGAAGCCCAAGAAACTCCAATGCTGAAGAGCCAACCAGGAGCTGGGAGTTTTCGGCTCTCCAATAAGCTTTGAGTAAAAGGAGGGGAGCTCCTGTTGGCTTTCATCTTCCTTCTTCCTTACCACTGGAGGTCTCACCCCAGAGATAGCTGAGTCTCAGGTAAGAGAAGAAGCCTCAATCCCTGGTGATAAGGGATTGGCTTTAAATTCAGTCCGAACTGCCGTCTCAACTGTGCTGATGAGGTAGAGGCAAACTAGAGACTAAAGAAAACGAAATGCTGGTTTGAAGCTTATTTTATTTTATAGACTGTGGTCTCAGTTGTGGGGCTTCCACAGTGAAGGAGCAGTGATTGAAAAGTCATTGATCCATCTTTTTTTTGTTGTTGTTTCCTTTCTCCTTTCGTGCCTTCTCTCTAATTCTTTATCCTTAATGCAGGATTAAAGACTTCAATACTTAGTGAATCAGCAATGCTCAGTCTGGGAAGAGCCTTTAGCTATCGTTTCTCCCTTTGCTTAAGCTGTGGATAAAAAGAAGACTTCTCTCTCTTTTTCTAAATAAAATAGACAGAGAGGGGTTTTTCTGGGGGGAAATAGTGGATAGCAGCAGAATGGGGGGGATATGCAATAAGATTGTGGGTGTAGGGTTTAGAGGCTCTCATGGAAATCAGTCACACCCAACCTACTCTGTGTGTGTGTGTGTGTGAATGCCTGCATACATGTGCTTATATGTATCCCCTACAATTATTTGGTGGCAGCTGTGGGATGAACTGTCAACAGAAATCGGACATTCAAGGCAAAGTGGAATGAATGAATGAATACAGTATGATAAGGAGGAGGGTTTTTAAGAAGCGATTAGACAGCCATTTGTCTAGAATAGCGTAAGGCCTCCTGCTCAAGTAGAGAGTTGGACTAGAAGACCTCCGAGGTCCCTTCCAAATCTATTATTCTGTAGGTCAGTGCTGAATTGGTAAATAAGACTCTTAATTTGCTATATCGCTAGTAGACCTGATGAGAACATCAACTCCATTAAAAGAAATACAAAGTGCAGAGAAGAGCAGCTAAAATGATTAAAGGCCCGGAGACTAAAACTTGTGAAGATCCGTTGCAGAATTTGGGTATTGATATTCTAGAGGAAAGAAGGACTAGGGGTGACATGATGGCAGTGTCCCAATATTTAAGAGGCTGCCCCAAAGAAGAGCGGGGGGGGGTCAACTTATTTTCCAAAGCACCTGAAACAATGGACAAGAAACAATGGATGGAAACTCATCAAGGTGAGAAGCAACCTGGAACTAAGGGGATATTTTCTGGCAGTGCGGACAATTAACCAGTGGAATGGCTTGTATCTGGAATTGGGGGTTTCCATCGGTAGAGGTTCTTAAGAGAAGGTTTGTCCAGAATGGAATAAGATCTTATATTTGAGCAAGGTTTTGGACAAGAAGACCTCCAAGGTCCCTTTCAATTAGGTTAGTCTGTTTTATTATTTTTATTGTTTATAGGAATTAGTGGAATCCAATCCACTTTATCCCGATGTGTGTGTTTGTCTGTGCGCAAGCCCCATTAAATTCAAGTCCATTTCCCCCACTCCCACCCCTCAAAACTCACTGGGCTAGTCATCCTTTTTCAGTGTAGGATTGCTATTAACAGAGAAATATTGTGAAGGGAAATCTCCAGGTAAGGTGCTTCGATCTGGAGGGGAAAAAAAATTAGAGTATATATTTAGCATGTCCCTTCTTTTCTTTTTAAATTATTAGTTATGATTTGTCATTCTGTACTTGATATTTCTGTGGTGCATACAGTTATTTTCTTAATTTCCCTTTTACTCACCGCTACAAAATAATGCTTGGGGGGTCAGGGAGAGTAGGAAGGGGGCCAATCTGGTTTGCATTATTTAAACTGTTACAAGCATGTGCTCACCCAGCCGATATTGTGTTTGAAAAAATATTGAAGTTCCATTATGTCAGCACAAATTGCTTTTGAGGGTTGAGGCTATAATTTCACTTAAAGGTTCCAGTACAATAAGTTGCTTAAAACGATGTTGGCGTTGTGTTTTATACAGTATATAACACAACGTGGTGATTTTACGTACCAGTGTTTTTCAACCGTCTCAACTTTTAAGATGCGTAAGCTTCAACTCCTCTAGGCTGGCTTGGGAATTGTGGGAGTTGAAATTCACACACCCTAAAGTTGACCAGGTTGAGAAACGCTGTTGTACACTATGGTTAATCTTAGCCAGAAGGCTGAAAAGTGAGTATCTTGATAAGTAATTATGCTATTATTGCAAAAAAAGAACTGTGCATGCCCAGTATTGTGAATGTTTTGAGTTCACAACTAGACAAGCCCTTTATGCTTCTGGTCTGTTGATAAATGGACATATCTGAGCTTTGTATACTGTAATGAAGCTGGAATCTGGGTGTATAACCAAACCCTGAAATCTTAAGTGTATTTCCATTCCATTATGAGGGGGTGGGAGGAGAAATCTTTTCTACATAAAACTGAATGTGGCTGGCTTTGATTAAAGAAAAGAATATAAGTACTTTTCTTTCCGCATGGACTTCATGCTTAAAGTGGAAAAGAATGAAAACTTGATTTTGGGTTTTACAGATTAGACAGATAGACCTTTATAGAAATGGCTTGTTCATATTATTATGAAAAGGCAAAAAGTTGTGATTTTATGTTAGTGCCTTATTTTACTGCAACAGAGAGAGTCAGAAGTCAATGCTTCTTTTTCTTTTATCCTTCCTCACTTCTCCCCCCTCTTCTTTTTCTTATTTACTTTTGTATTTTGTATCTTATAATATTTTATAACTCAATAAAAATGTTAAACCGAAAACTGAACATGACCAAGTCATTTCCCTAAAATGTAATAGTTCTTGAAAGTTGCTGGTTTTAAGGGATAGCAATAGCACTTATATACTGCTTTATAGTGCTTTGACAGCCCTCTCTAAACAGTTTGCAGAGTCAGCCTCTTGCCCCCCAACAATCTGGGTCCTCATTTTACCCATCTGGGAAGGAGGGAAGGCTGAGTCAACCTTGAGCCTGGTGAGTTTTGAACTGCCAAATTGCAGTCAGTTGGCAGTCAGCAGAAGTAGCCTGCAGTACTGCGCTCTAACCACTGCGCCATCGAAGTGGGTGGATAGTTCCATATGGTCAAGTTGACTGTGTTATTTTTTTTGTTTTGTTTTTAATCCTTCACCAGATAGAACTTTCTGGAATGGAAAATGGAAGACAGAGGATCTCGGGTTGCTGACTATTTTGTGGTGGCGGGATTAACCGATATTTCCAAACCACTTGAAGAGGAAATTCACTTCAACGATGCTTGCCATCAGCTTGCAAAGCCCAAAGAACCAATCACAGATGTGGCGGTGATAATTAAATCTCTTGGGGAAGAGGTCCCTCCTGGATACCAATGCATTGACGTCACTCCGTCAGGACTCTCTGCTGATCTCAACAATGGCAGCCTCATGGGACCCCAAATATATATGTGCTACAGGAGGGGAAGGGACAAACCCCCACTTACAGATCTGGGGTAAGTTAGATTTACTCTACTAGTTTATTGTTCTGGGGAAACCTGGTGGGAATTGAAGGAGCATCCGTAGGGAATGAAATTGAAGATATTTTGAATAGGTTGGGCAAAGGGTTTGAAATCAACCTTTCATAACGTATGTCGGGTGATTGAAACACCTGCCTTTGGAGCTTTAAAGCAGCTGCATCCATCAAGAGGATAAATGCGGCCATGTTGATGGCTTTCCCACATTTGGGTGTGCATCCATGCTCACTTCTCATGAGATCCCTATTGAAATGAAGCATCCAGAGAAAGCCTTTGAAACAGTCACTCTGGGCCTTTACATGGAATCATAGAATCATCAGATTGGAAGGGAATTTGGAGGCCTTCTGCTCCAACCCCCCTATCGAAGGCAGGAGATCTTATATACCATCCCAAACAAACAGCTGCCCAATTTTTCTTTTAAAAAAAACGTCCAGTGATGGAGCACCTACAAACCCAGGAGGCAAGCGGCTCCATTGATGAATCATTCTCGTGGTTCAGGACATTTCTCCTTAGTTGCAGGTTGGATCTCTTCATGATGAGCTTCCATCCATGGCTTCTTGTCCTGCCTTCAGGTGCTTTGGAGAAGAGATCTGTTGAGATAATTCCCCGTTAAGAGAATGAACGCATACAGGGAGTCGTATTTGAGAGGAGTGTTTGAATAATACACACACAGCACACAGATACACTGTACAGTAAATGTAGGTTTTTACTTCCAGAAAGGTTTAAGCAAAGTCCAAAATAAGCAATCCAAAAGTCATTCACAGGTAAAATCAGTCAGTTTTCATCCAGGGATAATCCAAATATCAAATTCCAGTGTCAAAAACAGTTCAGTATCAGACTTACATTAAATCCAGTAATATCAGTCAATTAGAAGAAATGGAGCAACGGCCATACTTTCCAACAGAAGGAAACAGAGATACTCACTCAGACACACTCTCTTCTGAGACTAAGACTAAAACAAACCAGGTTTCTGGCTCCATCTTATGGCCGTTTGAGAAACCACACCTGATTACAGTTTTGCATTTTCTTAAAGTTACAGTTTTAAATTTTTTATCCTGGTTTATATATTTCTAACCCAAATACCTCTTAGGTGACTTATATTCCTAACAAGATCGACCCTCTCTTTTCTGTGACCGCCCCTCAAGTTCTGGTACTTGCTACTTTTGAAGGAGGTAGCTGCATGAAACACTTGAGGAGAGATGCCCTACTTTCATAGTCCTCGTTTTTAAATGGGGAGGGGAGGATGAGCTAAAAGGAGAACATTATTTCACTTACCTGTTTACATCCTACCATTTATTATTTTTACAACAAAGACAACTGTGAGGTGGGTCGGACTGACAGAGAACCTGTTGAAGGATCAAAGTTCCCAGGGAAAAACGCACATGTGGAGAAGCACAGAAAAAAAAAATACAATATAATGATTTTTCTATTTCAGTGGTAGCTGACTTAAAGCCACTATGGAGGGATGCTTGATTTTAAAATAAGACACAGCTATTTCAGACAAATGATGGGACATCTATTGATCTGTTCATCTGTTGCATTTTTAAACTGACCAGTTATCATAATTTCATTGCCTGTGTGTAAAACCTAGGTATAAAATAAACCAACCGAAACCAACAAAAAAAAGCAGCATTATGGGACATAAAATGCCCAGCAGCTGCAATAAGAGATAATAAATTGATTACAAAACAGGCAGCAAAATCACAGTCTATCACGACGAAACCTGAGAAAATTACATTTTTACCACGATGGTGGAATGATCATAATGTAGGTGTCAGGTGGGGAGGGCCTTCCACAGATTTTGTCTGGGGTACCTGGAGTAGGGTCTCAGATGAAGATTGCACAGTTTGGATGAGCAAAGTTGACACCTGCCCACCTAGCAATTTGAAAGCATGCAAATGTGAGTAGATAAATAGGTACTTTGGTGAGGAGCAGAGGTGGTATTCACCAGGTTCTGACCAGTTCTGGAGAACCGGTAGGGGAAATTTTGAGTAGTTCGGAGAACTGGCAAATGCCACCTCTGACTGGCCCCACCCCCATCTATTCTCTGCCTCCTGAGTCCCAGCTGATCAGCTGGGTCTCCTTTGGTTGCCCTGCACAGGAGAACGGAGCTGGGAAGCAGGTTAGTGGGGTGTGGAGGTAATGGGATTTTGCATAATCTTCCCCCATGAGTGGGGAGGGAATGGAGATTTTGCAGTATCCTTCCCCTGCCACGCCCACCAAGCCACGCCCACAAAACCTGTAGTAAATTTTTTTGAATCCCACCACTGGTGAGAAGGTAACAACGCTCCATGCACCTTGGTGTATAGTCATGCTGGCTTCATGACCATGGACGTGTCTTTGGACAACCCTGGCTCCCTTGGCTAAGAAATGGAAAGGACCACTGTCTCTAGAGTTGGACACAACTGGACAGGGAAAATCTTCACCTTTTCAAAATAATGCACATTACAGGGGGGAAAAAAGTCTAACATAAAAAAGCAAAAGATCTGAGCAAGAATCGACTGGCTTGACATGATGATGAATTAACTCCGTGGAAAAACTGACTCAGGATTTGATTGCTATGAAAAAAAAAGTAAATTCTCTCCCTCAGGTTGTTGAGAAAGGCATAAAAAATGGAACTGTCAATATTAATAATGTCCTAATTGACTTGATGGTGCAGATGATTATTTAGAATATTAGGTGTAATTCAAATACCACATATCCTAAAAGATACCAGAGGCATAAAATGGCTGTCAAAAAGATTCAGTAACAAGGAGAAGAGCTTCTTCCTTTCTCAAACGTATTGGAATCTGTGGTCATCCCAGAACACCCATTAGTAGGGAAATTGGGATAAGCAAAAGTACTTTGTCACACAGATATGTAGCTCGCTGTCAGGGCTCCGGCATCCACCCCCATTTAAATCATGATTCTCTAGCCGCATCTCTCAAGAGTTTAAAGAAGATTTATTAGGAGTGAACATGCGGGTGCTATCTGGGTGTACTCACCCCCCTGGATGTATATTCTCCAATGGGACACATCCATAGCCAAGAGTCATCAATCATGCTCTCCAAGCAATAATCTTGTGTGCCAGAAGCTTCAGTCGCCTTGAAATTATCTATGAAAGCATTTAAGGAATGCACTACTTCCTCCACTCCCTTTCTGCTGGCAACTCTAAAAGACCAGAGAAATATTTTTGAGTTGACACTCAAGATATAAGGATGGCCATCAATTTGGAGATTTGACAACACCAAAGACAAAGCCATCAGCAGCTAATATATTCCTCTTGGTTTGCGGTCAGCAAGTTTCCCACTATTTACCTGTACTTGTAGCTGAGAAACATAAGAGGAAGGTTGAGTGCCCTGTTTATGGACTTTCCTTTGGCCTCTCGTGGGCCACAGTGAGGAGATTATGGTGTAAGAGTCTGCATTTAGTGTGATCCTGTTCTTTTGGTTTTTCCTTCGTCAGGTGATAATAGTAATGTGTCAGTTATAAATCCAATGGGCCTTTAGATACAAAACTGGATGGCAAAACTAGAATTGACTAGAACATTTATTTATTTGCAAAAGTCCCTATATACAGCATTTGATTTTGAGTATGTTACAGATTCTAACTGAAGTGGTGTACAGGTAGTCCTCCACTTACAACTTTTGTTTAGAGACCATTTGAAGGATGCAATGGAACTGGAAAAAAAAACCTCACGATCGCTTCTCGCACTTCTGACCATCCCCACAGTCACGCGATCAAAGTTCAGGCACTCAGTCTTTACAACGGTCGCAGCATCACGGAGTCATGGGATCACCCCACCCCTCCGAGGTCAGACACAACCTTGATGCGACCCTCAATGAAATTGAGTGTCAGGACTCTGACATGCACCCTCATTCAAATCATAAGTCTCTAGCCACATCTCTCAAGAGTGAAAAAGATTGATTTATTAGGAGTTGACATGTCGGTGTTTCCCGGTTGCAGCCGACTCTGACACATCATTCGTTTCTCCCTTGACCCTGGTCTTCTCCCCACCCCCTGGATGTATAATCTGCGATGAGACACATCCATAGCCAAGAGTCATCAATCATGCTCTCCAGTAATATATTATCTTGCGCCTCAGGGGCTTCGGTTGCCAAAGCGATTATCTGAAGCATTTAAGGAATGCACTGCTTCCCCCCCCACTCCCTTTCTGCTGGCAACTAAAAAGACCAAAGAAGTATTTTTTAGTTGACATTCAGCTTCCCTCACTTTTTGAAGGCTACCTGCACAACACAAAAAGAAAACAAATTTATTGCAGGTCTAGAACTTAGGGTTGCGAAACACACACACACACACACACACACACACACACCAGGTTTGGTTGGGACATCGAGTTTGACACCCCTATTGTAGGGAAGATCTGGGATCATGCTGTTATTTTGGGGCTGAATTTGCTCCGTGCCCATGGCAGCACTGAAGTATTTGCTTTTCATTTGTCTCCCGTCTAGGGTTTTATACGACGGGAAAGAGAGGTTGAAACAGGGATGCGAAATCATCCAGACCACTCCGTCTGGCCGCCCCGCAAACATCAGCAGCGGTGCCTCCTCCCAGAAAGTGTACATCACGTACCGAAGAGCTTCGGAGAACATGACCCAGAACACCTTGGCGGTCACAGACATCTGCATCATTATCCCAAGCAAGGGGGAAACCCCGCCACACACTTTCTGTAAAGTTGACAAGAACCTGAACAATAGTATGGTAAGGTGATTTCTGGATTTGGAGTTATTTTTCCCCCCCTCGTTGGATATTGATTGATTGATTCATTCATTCATTCATTTGATTTGATTTGTGTTGCCACCTATTTGCCATGGCGACTCAAGGCGGCTTACAACATATAAAACCACAATTTAAAACAATAAAACTCATAAAATCAAATAAATTAATATAGTAAAATCACCCCGCACCTGCTTCCCAGTGACAGCAGATCACACAATCCACTTAATGGGCTCCATCCCGCTCTGGGTTCCCCAGACCCGCTGGCAGAAGCAGATCTTCAGTGCCTTCCGGAAGAGTGCTAGAGTGGGGGCCATTCTAATCTCTGGGGGGGATGAGGTTCCAGAGAGAGGGGGCCACCACGGAAAAGGCCCTTCTTCTGGGTCCCACCAGGTGTATCTTCCTTGTGGGGTGAGACCAGCAACATTCCCTGCCTCCTCGTTCTGATGGGTCAGGTAGATGTGACCGGCAAGAGACAGTTCCTCAGATAACCTGGTCCCAAGCCATGAAAGTCTTTAAATTTATAACACTTGTCATAAGGTATAGCATAAATGAGGGTCTGTTAATGCATCTTTTAATATTCTGAATTATTATAGGGTTTCTAGCTACGTTTTCCCATGCTGGTCTTCATGAGCGAGCAACTATTGTTCTACTCTTGGTTCCTTGGTTGTGTTACAATGCTGTCTGTTCTTAGCACTGCTTGAATGCCATAAAGCAGTATTTTTCAACCTGGGCAAATTTAAGACTTCAATTCCCAGAATTCTCCAGACAGCCATGGGGGTCCTGACTAGGGAATTATAGGAGTTGAAGTCCACCCCTCTTAAACTTACCCAGGTTAAGAAGCACTGACATATCCTGCTATATCTCAGGGAATTCGCACGGATTTCTCCCTGTTTGCATTTAGCATCTGATACCGAGAGATTTTTTTTTCATGAATATTGCCTTTAATGGCTAATATTTCAAGTGCAAATATTATTTTTTAAATCAGAGTCCGGCAATTACCCATTGCTAACTTCAAGCAATGGGACTGAAGGTTTTCATTACCTTCTTTGTATTAACGATTCACATAATGGTTCTGAAATGATTCTCTGGTTTAAAGGCATAAATTATTAAACTACTCTTTCAGATGTTACCTATTTTCCGATATTCTGGCTTATAGAAAATGAAAACCTCCTGTTTTAACAGTCAGTTGCGTCAAAAGGACTTCTTCAAATGTAAAAAAAAATTGAAGCTAATAGTTTATTTTTACAAATAAACATTTTCATAGTGTTGCTAGTCTTCCTATGTGTTAAACTGAAGGATTTCCTTATCTCCCTATTCTTTAGGGCTGCTTTTAAATGATAAAATGTGGTTTTAGGTCATTTCTTAGAAAAAAGGCAAAACCATGTGCATTTTGACAGCTGAAAGAGAAGCATGATCAGCACATTTGAGTTTTAAAATTTATTTCTAATTACTAAGAGCTTGCATAGTGTTTCAATCACAATGATTGGAACAAATCATAAAACAGCAGCCTTCTTCATTTTAAAATTACAAAAAATTAAGCAGACATAGCTTCCCATGTAGTAAATGTTTCTGTTGAATGGATAATTGTAGAAGAAGTAATGCAAAGTGTGATTATAGGTCCTCCTGCCCATATTCATATCTTGTAAATTGCAGTGTTATTTGAACTTTTCATATATATTTTTTATTGCTGGCCCTGAGGTCCATATTGAGATTCACTAGCAAGTTGATCTTCAAAGCCTATTTTATTTTAGTGTATTCTCTAGATTCCAGATTGCCCTTGCTACTAAACCTTACAACAATATCATAGATTTCCAGCCTTTATCTTGTACAGTATATCATATTTTGGCAGTGGTTTCTATTATTTCAAAGCATATCATGCTGTTCTGTTATAAGAATGGCTAGGAGTCTGCATTTCGAAATACAAAAAATTAACAACTGTGCAAGAAAGGTTGCAAAATGGTGCAAAACTCACTTAACAAATGTGTTTTACTTAGCAATGGAAATTTTGGGCTCAATTGTCAATTGTCAAGGACTACCTGTAGGCTGTTTTAGGTGACAGAAAAGAAGCTAGTCGTGTAGCCTATCTCTTTCATACAGTTTGTCGAAAGCGCCATGCTGAGAAAGGCTAACTTAGAAAGCAGCTCTTAAAAAAAAACCAGTGGTATCAGTTTGTGAGATGTTAGAACTGGGAAAGCTCAGATAAGATGTGTTGAGTGTAAGTGGTTGATTATGAAGATACCTCTTCGTGATTATTTTTACATGCTTGGATGTTGTAAAAATTCATATCCACCAAAGTTATCTTCCTGTCTTTGCAGTTAATGGACATTTTGTCCTTTGCCTGTTCTTGATGCCCTTAGCTAGTTTATACTTTAGCTCCGAGTGCTAAGTCAAATGTACATTTTATCATGCACATAGTACATGAAAACATGCCTTTTGCCTCCCAAAATGTCTCTGTCCAAAATGCTTCCGTTGGCAGCCCTTTTCCCTTTACTTCTGGAATTTAGATGTGTGGCAACGTTTAGTGGGATACCGTAAATGTTTTGTTTGCATGGACATGTTGCTAGCAGCAGAAATAAGTTAGTCCTGCACAGAAATCATTGAATTGCGTAACATTTTTGTTAAAAGAAGTCCTAGAGTGAGTAATTGCAAGTTAGGAGAACTAAGCATTGCCCCAAAAGGCATGGCCCCAAGCATGAATCCAATAAAAAGAAGAGGGAGAAAAAAGGGTTGCTATCTTTTACTTATATGAAAAAATAAACTATTTCATATGATTGTTGGGCACTTTCCATTTGTAATCAGAAAAGTTGGTTTAAAGAAGCGGCATTTAATGGAACATAGCTTGAGTTATCAAATTTGTTGAACACTTTATGATCCAACATTTTGCTTCTCCGTGGCCTAGAAGGCTAACCTGCCCTTTTCCCATGTTATGTTTCCATAGTGGGGATTATCAGCCTACTTGTGTTATAAGAAATCTGTGGCAAAAACAAACACCATATCGTACAAAGCAGGTAAGCATGTCAATTCATTTCAAAAACGTTTCTGGGTCTGGGATTACATGTTATGGCTTTACGGATTACATGTCAACCTAGGAGATCAACTTCTTCTCCAAAGCACCTGAAGGCAGGAAAAAGAAGCAATGGATGGAAACTAATCAAGGGGAGAAGCAACCTAGAAATAAGGAGAAATTTCTTAATGGTGAGAACAGTTAACCAGTGGCATGGCTTGCCTTCAGAAGTTGTGAGTGCTGCCATCACTGGAAGCTTTTAAGAAGAATCTGGGCAGCCACTTTCCTGGAATGATCTAAGGTCTCCTCCAACAGGGGGTTGGACTATAAGACCTCAAAGGCCCCTTCCCACTCTGTTATTCTGTTCTGTTAATTTTAACATATTTAGTTTAGTTTAATTTACTTTATCATTATTGCACCTCGTACAACGAAATTAAATACCATCTATTAGGACTATGAAAATAAACACAAACACACAATCCTCACATTCGAATTGAAAACCCCTGATATTGCATTAATATTGCACTATACAGTAGTATTTGATATAGTTACTGCCCTGGAAGCAGTAGAAGCTATTTAGAATATAGAATATATCTGGTCCAACCCCACCCGGTCAAGCAGGAGACACCCCTTATATCATTCTGGTCATTTAAAAACCTCCATGTCAGCTTCGGAAGCCATATTGAGATCCGATGCTCCCACGCTGCCACAGTTGAGCCTGAGAAAGTGGGAGGGGGGGAATTCATTTGAGTATATCTAGTTAGACAAAATAAAATCCTTTTGCTGGTTCACGGTCACAGAGTGTTGCGCATAATGAAATGGGAATCTTACTTTAGGACGGATGGTGATTGGACCCTGTGATGGGATGATGGCTAGGGGGGATGGATTTGTAGTTGGTTTTTTGGGAGCAAGGAAGCCCGAAAACTTTCAGATTTGGGATTCCACAGATGTGCCAGTTACTATCCCAATAAAGGAACCTTTGAGAGATGCCTGTCTTGGAGTTATTGGTTGGAATGGAGGGTTGCTGGAACGCTGACGCTCCAGTGATGGAGCACCCACAACTTCTGGTGAAAGCCTTCCACTGATTTATTGTTCTTGTCAGGAAATTCCTCCTTAGTTCTAAGTTGGATCTCTCTTTAATGATCTTCCACCCATTGCTTCTTGCCCTGCCCTCAGGCGCTTTAGAGAATAGACTTCTTCTGTGAGAGGCCCTCAAATATTTGAAGAGTGCTGTCAAGTCAACCCTTGTCTTCATTAGATTGGATCTACCTAATTCCCCAATTGCTCATCGTATGCTTTAGCGTCCAGACCCCTCTTTGTTGCTCTTCTCGGCAGTCTTTCTAGGGTCTCAGAATCTTTTTTGTATTGTGGTGATCGGAATTGTACGGAGTATTCCAAGTGTCACGTCACTACTTTGTGGTTGGGTTTAGGGCAGTCCCAAACAGCCACTCTTCTCCCGGCATACGTATAAGGGAATTCTAGTAGTGATATTTCAGCGCTAAGTGTCTTCGTTGCTGCTCTTGAGTTTGAAAAGAAAACAGAAGAAAACTTAATTGTGAAACTCTGGAGGCATACAAGTACAAACAGCCAAGTACAGAAATAGCCCGGGTTTTTTTTTTTTCCTACAGAGCCTGCCTGGACAAGTCTGTTGAAATACTTCAGAGATTTAAGTATAGTATGTAATTCACAGAGCAAAATGTCAAACTGAATTTCCTCACTGCGCTCCTGGAAGTAGCCCAGTTGGAATAGTAGAGTTGAACTCATGGGAAAAGTTAGGAGCATCGTAAAAGTCGCCGTATTATCTGATAACAACCAGGATTTTAAAATTGCTACCTGAAAGTTGGGACATAGAATTTGTCAACTGGCTTCTCAAAATGTTTTGGATAATGATATAATGCAACTGCAGCTCCTCCAAGAACTACAAATGGAAAACTGATTTACGTGACACAATTACAGGCATTTGGAGACGGGGCAGCATCCAAAATTCCATTGATCTCATTTTTCAGGGATTTTATTTAATTGCTATTTTGATTTATTTCATTGATAGCCCACCTTTCAACTATTTGAGCAGTCAACTGCAGTAAGAAGAAAGCCGAAATATATTTTAAAAGATACGTTGTTTTTTTAAAAAAGAGAATAGCATTGAAAAAGACACAGAACGTAGAATGATAGGGTTGGAAGGGATCTTGGTCATGCAAGGCCTAACCTTAATCTAATCCAGGGATTTCCAAATTTGTCAGCTTTTAAGTCTTGTGGACTTCATGTCTTCAAGCTCTGCTGGCTAAGGAATTCTGGGAGTTGGAGTCCACAAGTCTAAAAACTGACAAGTTTGGAGACTTCTGATCTAATTATATGCCAGGTCTAATCTTCTAATGGCAAGATTTCTGGGGAGAGTCTTCCTTAGAAGTAAAGCCAGCAAAAAACTTTGAACATGCCTGTCTTGCAGAGCTGAATGTCCTGACAGATTCAGAAAGATTCCCTCCATACATAAATATACACAATTTTTTGTTAGACTATTTTAATAGTATTTTCCCCCTTTTATTTTGAATTTCTGGTAATCTGATAGCTGCATAAGCCACAGTCTTACAGCTGGGTGGCCCTGTTTGGTTGCCAAATAGATACACATTTTACCACCCACATTTGTTATTAAGAGAATAATGATAGCAGTGTGAAAAATAATCCTAGTCAAAACAATGGAGATTGAGTGGCAGCCATGAAATGAGTACACAGACACCCAAATATAAAACCCTTAAATCACCAAACCCTGAATCACCAAATTCAACAACATTTTGAGTAAAAACAAATTATTTTAGACTCTTTTTCTCTTTGAATGTATTACTAGCAACTAAAGAAGTTACTCCTGCATTTATTGGTCAATTCATCAGTGAATAATTCAAATAAACTAACCCTTTATATCTGTTTGGTTCCACGAAGGAAACCGGGCTCAATTAATATAACATAAGCAAGGATTTGAAAGCCTGCAGGAAACTGCACAGTTCCAGAATGAATTATTCAAAGATCAGCCTCTAAAGAGATAAGCGAACATGACATCTACCCCGATCCCAGTTGTGATGTCCATGATATTGTTTTTAAAAAAATTATTCCTCTTTTGAAAGAGTTGGTGGTGTTTTTTTTAAAGACCCTTGAATGCCATGAATGTAGGCTAAACAGATTCCGAAGCAAAGGGAATAAATAAATCAGAGGACATCAAAGGGACGGAAGAAACTCAGCTTGCCAGAAGGATATTTGTCTTGACATGTAAAGAACAAAACAAAAAACACAGTTTAGGAGTCCTGGATAATTACACTGAATATAAGCCAGCAGTGTGATGCAGATGCCAGCATAATCTCCAGTTAATGAGAAAGAACCATGAAGCATTATATCTCCAGTTCATGAGAAATAATAGTTCCAATTGGATGATGGCACTAGCACTTAGGCCTCTGTATTGTTCCATAGTACTTTATAGCAGAGGTCCCCAATGTTTCTGACTGCGGGGAGAGGTTCTGCACAAGCAGCCGGCAAGTGCGCATGCAGCTCCATTTGCACATCTGCCTGCCACTCTCACTTAAATGGAGCACGCATGCGCATGCTAGCACGCTACTCATGCAAGTGCCTGTGAACTTGCCGGCCATTTCTATCCGAGCAGTTTACAGTATATCAGCCTCTTGCCCCCCAACAATCTGGGCCTTCATTTTACCAACCTCGGAAGGATGGAAGGCTGAGTCAACCTTGAG